GTAAGATCACTGGAGAGTCATGGAATGTACCAGTGATGGCAATTCTATACCGGACCAGCATTTTAAGTGTACACACTTTGAACGTGGAACCAACGACGATGGAGAGTGATTAAAAATTAGGTCACTGAAAACTTGGTTTGTGACTGCACGTGAACAAAGTATGTTGAACTTATTTCGCACCGTACGTAGTCAACCGTGCAAATCGGAGGTGGGCAGGCCTTAATCTGAGTGAGATTGACGCCTCGTAATGTAATGATTCATGGTGGGGGTGTGTGTGTGTACCCATGTTACAGATGGCGCCAGCCAAGAAGGGTGGCGAGAAAAAGACTCGTTCCACCATGAACGAGGTGGTGACCCGCGAATACACCATCAACGTCCACAAGCGCATCCATGGCATGTGAGTCTCACTGGAGGTGTGCACTCGCGGGGGACATGGTTGGGAGAGTTGTGCCCTGTGGCTCATGGCAACACCTGAGCAATCTCATGTCACATGTGACGAGACCACCCTCTCTGGAATTTGCTTAACTGGTCCAGGGCTGTCAACATTGGAAGTCCCAGTTGAAGACCCCCGCCTATTTAAAAATGTATCTCTTTTTTAGTTTGCTGTACTCTAGTATTTCTCTCCCCAGTTTCTTCACACTTATTTTACTCCTTTGCATGGATGTCATTCTTAATATACATTAAGGTTGCATTATACTTATACATGATAAACAAGCGAGTGCCATCCAATGCTCTTTAGAGCTCTTTTGAGCATTGGGTGGCACTTGCCCGATAGTGTATTACGGGGGTAAATTACATTGATAAACCCCTCATGTGCATGAATACTGAAGCAGATTAAATGAAAATAACAGTAAATGTAGGGTGATGCAAATGTATATTTTGGCTGTTTGGCCAGATGACAATCCAGAATGCTCCTGAGTTTTAGGACTGACTTTAATGAAGTAATATAGATTAGACAATTACGTACTTTTTGTGTATGAATGCTAACTGAACATTGCATTCTATGTGATGTGCTAGGTTGTTGGACGGCAGAATGTTAAAAGCTGTAGATTTAACAACTGCTGGCTTAATATAAATATTTTAAAGACTTTGACTGGGGTGACATCAGGGTGGATGGTGATGAACCTGAAGTGAGTATGGCATGCTGTCGACCCACAGTGGCTTCAAGAAGCGTGCTCCCCGCGCCATCAAGGAGATCCGCAAGTTTGCTGAGAAGGAGATGGGCACTCCTGACGTTCGCATCGATACTCGTCTCAACAAAGCGGTGTGGAGCAAGGGTGTGCGGTGAGGCTGCTGCTGCTGCATCCACTCCCACACACTCCTAACGTCCCTCCAACCACGCCCGTGCTAGACACAAATATCAGTCTGATGGTTTCCCACTTAGCCGAAATGGATATTGTCTACTGGGTTAGTCGGTCATCCTTGGCTGATCACTGTTACAACGCTGTTGGTTATCATGATATTGTTTTCTCCGATACCAAGGTACTATGCAAACCTCCCGGTTATTACCAGAGATTTGTCCACGAGGCCATCCAGATATACAAACAGACACAACTTAAACCGAGAGGATGGTTTAAAATTAAGCAACCATTGGAAAGATGTCATAAATCAAGTCAAACGTTAGCTGCCTTTTAATTGTACAGCAATTTTCAGTGGTGGTATGCCAAACTTCAGCTGCTTTTTTCGTTTTCAAAAATGGGGCGTACTCAAACGCCATCGCCTCCCCCCGAACCCCCTGCAGCTTAACAAAAAGCGGCTGAACTCAGCCCTCCCACCCCCACCCACGTTTCCATTCTTGCTCCTCCCCCCCCCCCTTTTAACCTATATATAAACCCGATCGTCTCAGAGCTGTGCACTTGTCACAGATTTTCTGCTGTGACTATTCCCCCTGAAGACGGAAGCTTGTGTTGCCTCCAAAACGTCGTGATTTAATTGTTTTATTTTATTTTACCTACGTGACTTTACCGAATAAAACCAAAGAGTATGAATCCTTGCAGTCACGAAAAGCTTTGAATCTAGAATCATCCTATTGAAATTGAAACATGATCATGGGCCTTTGTGCACTGGTCGTTTGCACAGTTTTCATCCATGTTTTTGGGTTGGGCCACAATAATTTAATGCAAAAATTCTTGTAATTTCCTCTCCACCACCTGATAACAAATATCACGTTTATAAACATTACTTATTCGAGCTGATGTATTGATCAAATTATGATGGATACATTTCACCAGTGGCTTGGGACTTTTCATGTCTGAATTCAACATCAACATGTTTTGCACACTGCTTTGAGCCTCATCAGATAGTGAGCTTGGAAATAGTGCTGCTTAAGCCAACTCTGCCGATGTATCTGCCGTGACATTAACTACGAAGGTTTGGGTAATTTACATTTCTTAGTAATTTGTTTGCCTGTTTTAATGTTATTTCAGGTATTGTAAAGTTTATTTTAATCAAAGGACTTGTAAGTTATGATTGGTGTGCTTTATGGTATTGCTTTGTGGTTTGTCATTTAGTAGTCAGGTTACAATATTCTCTTTGAGTGTTGGTGATTGAGTGCAGATTGTAATATAGTTTAAATATTTACTTATTGATGTGGTACTAAGCAGAACTTGGTTTATAACGCTTCTCTATTGAAGTTTTATTTCTCTGTCAAGCAATTTGAGCTCAGTTTCCACCATTGAATTGCAGAGCATTAAATGGAGATAAAGTTTTACAAAAATAAACTGCTAGCTGCAGATGGAATGTCTCGTGACACAATGTCCTTCCGGAATATATTTGGGGAAACTTTTAAAACAATCTCTATGTGCTGTTACCCTGCAGGAACGTGCCGTACCGGATCCGTGTGCGGCTCTCCAGGAAGAGGAATGAGGATGAAGATTCCCCCAACAAGCTTTACACCCTTGTCACCTTCGTGCCCACCACCTCCTTCAAAGGTAAAGTTGTTCACTTGCCTCCTTTGCCAGCCACAAAGCAACCACCGGTGATACTTGTGAAATGGATCCATTGATAGCTCTGCTGTTGAAATTCAGTAATGGACACTCATGGAAATAAGTGTTGATAGTGTAGCATCGGAAATGCACATCTTATACCGTCGGTATATATATTTACCTGCAGTTGCGGGCAAAGGCCCATAGGGGGTGCCACCCTGAGCTGGGGAAGGTCAGAGAGCCAGACCGTTGAGGGGCCGGGTTCTCCCCAGACCCTAGCTAGGACCCTGGGACCCAACATCCTTTTAAGGGCCGGGGCCGAGCGCGTACCAGTGGTCAGGACCTGTACCCTGGGCTGGGTCAGGTCAGTAGCTCCCGAGCTAGGACCCTGGGACCTCGAGCCCGACGTCCTTGTAAGGGCCGGGCCGAGCTCGGACCAGTGGTCAGGACCCGTACCTTGGCTGGGTCAGGTGAGTTAGCCTCCCCTAGGCCACAGATAGCCGGAGAGCTGAGAGCCAGGGTTAGAGTGTGAGGGCTAGCCTTAACTCCCACTATCCCTAGATAGTGGGAGTTAAGGGGAGTTCTGTTGTAGTTTGTAATAAACAGTGTTGCCTCTAAAGACAACGTCTCAAGTCTCCTGGAACCCACTACAATGGCATGGCATAAATCTTGCAGAATGCAGTTTGTCCTTCCCTTACCTCCGATTATCATGGTTGGCTACCTACGGTGTTAGAAGTTCGACATATATTGGTCCATTTCCCTTTTTTCGAAATTGTTCATTCACCAAATCTCTCTTCATTTCTATGGCAACGTTGTGGCTACCCAGGAATACAAGCAAATGGGAATTTTAAAAAAGTGGTGCATATGCATTGAAACAAGGGACATGAGATGCCCTGGGTATTTGGAGCTTTAGTTAATGTGACTTTACCGAAAAAACTAAGAATATGAATTACTGCAGTCACGAAAGCTTTAAATCAAAATTTATAGGAACATGTCAATATATACTTGGCCTAAACCTGTAGTTTTCAATCCCAAGTACAAATTATGATGGTATGCTAAATTGTTCAAGCACACAATGGTATAACTATAACTTATAAAGGATCACCTGCTTTGTATACAGTCAGCAGTTCTATGGAACTTTTACAAGCTCAATGTGGGTTGTCTGGAATGCTATCGCCAATAAACTGCAACTTGGATCATTAGCTGAGATCTGCACTCAAAACTGCTCTGGAGCTGTACAACCCCCACTGCCACTGCTATGCAGTGGCCTGAAATTAAATGCATCTGGATATCTGCTGCAAAGTATGATCTTGAGTTTTTATTATAGTGTGCTGATCTTTCAAGGTGCAAAGATGGGTTATACATGTTATGTATATTGTTTATTGTAAAATTTGAATCAGTTCCGATTATCACTGTTAAATTGTTTTTATAGCTTTATTTGGGTGATTTCTAAAACGTATGGTTAAGCCATGTTTGTTGAATCTAAATTGTCTTATGGTTATTGTTTGACTTGCATCCCACTGGGATTTTTTTCACATAGCGTTGATATGCAGTTTTTTTGTTGTTGAAGATTTTGCTGTTTTTTCCTGGATGTTTCTGTTGCGCGTCATCACTTTAAGATGTTCTTTGTTCATGCTTTTGTTTGTTGCGTTTGCACCCGAGTCAAGATCCGCGTGGCTCACAGGGCTACACCAAATGAATGAAATTGAATTTTTTTTAGCTCAAGTAGTAGAAAAGTTCTGCTACATGTGCCTAATTTTTTTTCTCTCTTTACAGGTCTCCAGACCGTCAATGTGGATGAAAGTTAAACATTTTCAAACCATAGATGAATAAACTGTCATTCCCCATCACATGACTGTGCGTTTCATTGTTAAAAGGAAAAATGATGGTTTCCATCAGCCTATTTCAGACGATGCAGATTGGCTAGCATACCATCAAGTTGAAATTGTGTTGTGCACATTTACGCCTGTATACAATCAGATGAAAATGCTACCATATAGGGACTGCACAGGGTCGCATGGCTTTTAAATGTGGCTAAATGACACTGATTCTGCCATAAAAAACACAGGCTTTGCGTAAATACAAAGTCATTTTAATAACATCAACGCAAGGGACTGGGTAAAGCTCTGGACAGGATTGCACATAAAAAAATTAAAGCAGTTTTTTTTTACTTACTGAACACAGTACAAGCTATACAAAATGGAAAATAGCTGTGTACACTGGAAATTCACAACTTAAAATGTAGTCTTAACCCGACCTAAGTCAAACCAATTAAAAAAAACCTATTTACAATCCCTTTTGGGTTATAATCACTTCAGTAATGGAACAAAGGTCGTTGAATAGTGAATATTGTTCGTTAGCCCAACCTTGAATACTATTAACACTTGATGGTCAAGATGTACTTCACCCTAAGCACACATTTGGATGCTTTACATTGACAAGGTATGGCTCGAAATGTTAAGAAACTGGAATAAATCCACTCTACACTGTCATTGAATACATTTAACACAGCATGTAAAAATGGAAAATTTGAAATTTCCAACTGAAAGTTAATGCAATAAGATTACCTAAAAAATATGCTTTTACTGTTGTGCTTTCAGTCGATTGGATTTCTTTCACAAGTCTTAAGAGTATGGAACGATACAGTTTAAGTGGTCACCTTTACAAATGTTTCTGTAATAACCACTGCTGAGTTTATGGATTCCACAATGAGCCTCTAGTGAAATTCAGGTTAACACTACATGTGGTTAACATGGGTGTAAATGGCAACCGATGACGTGTTGCCACCTTTAAACAAAACTTGGCATGGGCCTATTAAAACGACAGTATACTGAAATAAAGTTGAATTCAATGCTACCAAACAACCAAAGGTGAGGCATATTGAACAGGACAATAGCATGGACTACAGCAATGTATTTAAAGCCACTACAATATAGGAACAATATAGAATGGTAACAGTATTGACCGCAACATCAAAAAAACAAGTTGAGGCGGACAGCGTAAAGGTTTGCAGTCTATACCTCGCCAGAAAAAGAAATGCCAGAGGCAAGTATTTGCACTTTGGAATAAGTATACTAAAATGTTGCCCCGATTGCAATAACCAACACTTGACACGAAACCATGAAACTCGAGGTCGGCTGTGCAAGCACATGCAGTTTGCCAAATTCTACTGGTGGCCTCTGCAACCCAGTCGAGCTATATGTGAAGAGGTGCCATTTGCCGTGTGAATGACATTACCGAGAAATAAATGCAAACAGGCAAGGGCCTCTGAATTAAACTTACGTAATGAAGACATCTCATGCTTTAAAAACATTTTATAGGCTAGGTTTTGGCAAGCAACTATGTGCATGAACAGAAGACCAAACGTTACATTGTGATGCGCTTAACAAGATGTAAGTAAAGATGAAGAGTGGTGCCGACTTGTAATCTCCAAGTTCATGGACCGATGAAGGTTCATCTCGGGCCTTGCAGAGCCCATCAACTCCCGAGATATGGAATGTACAATTACTGATGCCACTGCACGATTACAATTGCAATAAATTACTCCAGAGATTGTAGTATACAGTATACTGTTGTACTTCTTCCAGGGTAATAAGCTGGCTTATCCAGAAACAAACACCATACGGAGTCTCCAAAATATTTCAGGAGGGCCCTGCATTTGCATGTTTGGCTAACTCCATTGTAGCAAGTGTCTGAAGTGTGGGAAGGAACCAGTAGCCGGAGAAACTCCACGCATAGGGGAGAGGTATTAACAAGTTCATACATCCATTTGTTGCTGTACCATCTGGCCACCTCGCAGCCCAGTTGAATGTAAAGTTTCACAAATATATGGTCCACCAACCCTTGTCTCCACCAAAGGACCCACTTATAGTATGCCCATATGAATGATTGTTGCCGATGGGAGCGAAGGGATCTTGTTAAGTTGTCCATGCCTTATGCGTACTAGAATTCTGAATTAACTTAAACATGAAAGACCCACTTAAGTGTGGATGCGTATTCTAAACTTAAACGTACATGTCCATCGTCTCTTGATGGTGTCGAAGAGGTTATGTAGATGATATAAAAAGTATCCAAGCACAGTATATTACCTCAGTGAATCCACTTTCCTGAAGGCTAGTGTACCAGTAAAGGCTACCAAGATAGGCCGAGCTTAAACAAAACCCCTCAGCCTCAATAAAACCTAACTGCAGGCTCAATCATAAATAATAACTAATCGCACCAAACTTCAATAAAAATCAACCAACCGACTAGTTTTCGACATTACTACCTAAAAGTTTCACCACTACAGCGATAAACGCAAAACTAGACTCGAGAAACAACAAGTTAAACATTTAAACAAAGTTAAGACAGTTCCTTGTTGGAAAGCTGGAAAACCTTTTTCCAGTGTCAGACCCGCACGTCGAGTTTCTAACGAGTGCACAAAATAGACTTCAAAAAGAGCAGTCCTGACACGTACTTGAGATACTAGTTAGTTATAAGTGCGTGTTTATGCATAGCATGAAACAACGGGCTCGTGCCCCAACCTGAATGAAAGACGCATGCTAACATTTGTTAGTGCTCAGAATAACGTTGTTTTGGCCTTTTATATATATAAAAATGTGTTGACCAACCTTAAGAAAGGTGAAATTAACATTGGCGCATTTATCAAAAATGTGCAGTGCCTTTTCTCCCACATTCCAAATGAAGCAGAAAAATAAATACGACCGTGCGTGTGCACAATTAATGCATCACTTTGCATGCAAAATGCGATACCTCACTCGTCGTAAGCAGCAAGAGCTGCCATTCGCCACTAAGTGGCGTGGCGGTGACGTCACCACGGCGCCTGTGCCACGTTCAGCGTCGAAGCCTCGCTGATTGGGAGGCCACCGGACAGACGCATGTGCCACGGGGGCCGACCAACTTCAGATGCCTGGCAGACGCACCAGTCGTCCCTTCACCGTTCCAACTTGCTGCGTTTTAAGCTGCCCGGCGACCCAGCAGGGCTCGAAGCAACAACAAAAAAACAAGCCCAATAGGGCAGTGCGGAACATCGTACCCAAACTGGACAGCAGTGCCAATTTTCACGTGCCACACCTCAATCAGTAGGAGCATTGGGAGCGCTGCAAAAATATAAAAATTGCAGCACAGCAAGTTTTCACTAAAAACCCCTTCACAATCACTTTACGTGACTTTGCGCGTGAATTTTACTGTCGCTCCAAATCAATAAAATCTGCTCTTAAAAGCAAAGGGGTAGAGCGCTCAAACTCCATTTTCATCCTTGATCCAATGGTGGAAATTTCACATTCCCACGGTGGGAGCCATTCCATCCATAGGATGACCATTGATGACTTCCCACAACGTGGTAATAATTTTACTGGTATGAAGGGCTTTTGGCGTCGGATCAGGCTTTGAACTCACATTCATGCAAATGCGATTCAAGCTTCCTGACCCACTCACACCCAACTGCAATTATAATTGGTATAATTATTCTAGAAGCAAATTGCAGCCATTTCCCAATCCATTGGACTATTTACATTCATCGTCTCGTAGCGGTGCGTCAACAAACGGCGATTGTGCTTTGTGATTGTCACTCGCGCAGTTTGGTGTTCAACAATAACAGCTCCATGACACCACCACCACCACAACAACAACAACCAGGGGATTAGCTGTTCAAGCGCTCGCGGTCACGCGCGACAGGTCGCACGGCTCGCGAGACCCCCCCGGGTGAGAAAGGCCACGGGTTTAGCGTCGCAAAAGTGCGTGCGGCGCGCAAGAGGTCATGGGGGGGGGACGGGGGGGCGGGGGGGGGGATGGGGGTGTAACGACGTCGTCAAGGAGGGGACGAGGGCGGCTCGCCGAGTGAGGACGAGCTGCTGCCCATAGTGGAGGCGGCCTGGGCGGCGCGGATCTTTGCCTCGACGTCGCAGGGCCTCTCGAAGAAGGCCGCGAGCGCGGGCTCCGTGAGCAGCGACGCCAGGAACTGCTCGCACGAGATGGACCAGGAGGCAACCTCGCCGCTCGGCGTCGCCAGCGATGACGACACGGACGACGACGAGGAGGGGCCGCGCGAGGAATAGGGGGACGTCGTGGAGGGAGAAGAGGCCGGGGACGTGAATGATGAGGTGGAGGACGAGGATGGTACGGAGGAGGTGGATGTAGAGGAGGAGGATGAGGAGGTGGAAGAAGCCGCCAGACTCGGCGTGTTGGGGTCTTCGGGCTCGTCTGCATCCGTCTGAGGGAGGAAGAGCAACTTTTGAGATGTACAGTTATCCTCTTATAGCAATAAAGCAGGTAAATCTCTCCCGCTTCATATGGGTAATTGTATTACAAATAAAAAAAAGACAATGTGCGGTTTTAGTGGTTGTTGCACTGCACTACGATCGTGGGCACATGGGTTATATTCCTGGATACAAACAACATCAGTGGCAATTGGTATCTATACCTGGCCTTGGTTTAAACTAAATTAACGATATAACTACCTGGGAAAGCAAATAATTATTGGTTTGGTACTGGCCACAACCACCCCTTTAGTACGACTTAATTGCACTTTCCCTGACAATGTATACATCTAAATAGGGAATCTCTGGGTATGTTAGAGATGCATATCTAGGGGAGTCACAATGTACCGAGAACTACAGATTAATAAGACCATATAAAATCAATGTATCAATTTTCAACACTCGCATGAATATATTATTAACTTTTAAGGAATGGTATTTAAAATTAGTATAAACGAGGGTGATTGTATTTATGAAATAGAAATTCAACCACGCGGTGCTGCAAGTAGAGTGCCTGACTCGCGTTTGGATGGCTGCGAGTTCAAATCAAGGTCAGGGATCAACTCGGCCCATAATCCGTCAGGGGTAAAACATAAAAAAAATTCCAATGTGAGACATCAAACGGTGACATTGCAATTGAGACTGGCCTGCACCCAAGGGGGATGTGGAAGACCCATTACTGGATTCGAGTTTGGGCTGTTCAACCACTGGAGCACTCTCACCTCACACTTTGTCAAAGCCTCCACATTGGGGGGCGGCTGTCCCGTCCCACGTGACCCTGGACTGGGTGACGCTGCATCCCCCAGGTTTGCCTGCGTCGTCCTCGAACAGCTGGTCCCCGGCCGCGTCATCCCTAGCTCGGCATCTCTTGTTCCGGTCGTCCTCGAGAATGCGGCATTTAGCTCAGCGGGCTGTGCCTCGGTAGTTCCTGCCTGGTCGGTCCTCGAAGTGTCAGTCTCTGTCTGGCTCGTCCTTGAATTGGGAGGGTCCGGATGCGGGGCCGTTCCTGGCGAGGCGGCGGGTCGTGACTGCGAGGCTGGTCCCGCACGCCGCCCAGCCTCGCCGATGTTGAGCAGCAGGTTGGCCACCATGGCGATGGCCTGGTACAGTTCCTGCTCGTTGGGCTCCTGGCTGAACATGTTGTAAAGCGTCTTGCACAGCTGGATGAATTGACCCTGTGGGGAAGAAAGGAATGCGCATGCACGGCGACGGAATTTAACGTAGGACGGCGATATAGTTATGAATATATGGATGGCCGAGTAGAGCCTGGCTTTGGCAAGGTCCGTACCCGCACCCATGTCAGGCCAGAGTGCATGTAACAGCTGACTGTATAGCCAAGGCAAAGTGAAATGTATCAGCCAAGTGTATAGCCTTGGCTTGGCTATTCACTTGGTATTACACTTGATTATTAAGTGTAGAGCCTTGGCTATAAACTTGTCTGATCTTATCTATGTCGCTTTTTGTCTGTCTGTATGTCTGTGTGTCTGTGTGTGTGCGTGGACACACCTTGTGACGCTTTTAAATGACAAACTGCTGGTTTACATTTCAACAAACTACACGCAGAAACGACACAATAAGCCCCCGGACGAAACAACCCAATTTGTTTTTCCCATCCGTCAAATGTAAAGTACTATGCTGAGCACGGCGCCAAAGCACGCATCTGCACATGCGCGAAACGCTGACTCGTGGTCGTTGCCCCTAGCAACCCACACCCGATCGGTGGGGATGAGAGAGAATTCTCATTATCGTTCAAAATGCATGCAAAAAAAACACTACGCTGAGGTTAATTCTTCACAGTGTGATGTCCTCTTCTCCCCCCCCCCACCCACCCTAATGTGTGCAGTTACTACTATAGAGTCCGTGGATACTACTACTACTATAATCTTGATTTGAAGCTTTCGTGACTGCAGGAATCCATACTCTTTGGTTCTTTCGGTAAAGTAACGTAGGTATAAAATCAAATAAATCACGACGTTTCGGGCACAACACAAGCGTCCATCATCAGGTAGGAAAGCGATGGTCTGCTGCTGAGGCAGACTGTTTTATAGTCCGTAGATACTACTACTGTAGCACGGGCGGGGGATTGGTGGAGAGGGGGGGTAGCAGCCCAGCCCCAGCCAGTCACGTTGCCACCTCGGCCGGCTGGGCAATCTCGGTGAGGCCGGCTGCACTCTACAGAACCAGGGCTCACCACAGCACTCTGTATAGTTAGTCGTTACTGCTATAGAGTCCATGGATACGATTACAGAGTCGGGATATACGACTATAGAGTAGGTCGATACTACCGCAGAGTTAGTAGTTACTGCTACTGTAGAGCAGGCGGGGGATGGTGGGGGGTAAGGGAGCCCAGCCCCCAGTCTTCCAAGGTGTCACCTCGGCCGGCTGGGCAATCCATGCGAGGCCGGCGGCACTCCGCGGGACTAGGCCTCACGATGGCACTTTGTATAGCTAGTAGATAATGCTATACAATCGATATATACTATTACTAGCTTTACTACCCGGCTTCGCCCGGGACTTGGATTCTTGTCTTGAATACACGGCCTACGCGGAGGGTTGGGCGGGGGGTGATGCGTGACGTCAGCAGGCACACTGCGTGACGCTGCCGCATGCGGGTGACATCACAGATGTGACGTCACCGCTCACTTTCCGTGCAAAATATATCCATTATTGTGTCCCCCCCCCCCGCAAAAAAAAATATATACAAGTCTATTTTTATACTTTTTGCATTGTGTACAGTCGGGAAGCTACCCACATGCCAAATTTCAAGTTTGTTGCATGTCGGGAAGCATGCTAAACATTTCGAACCGACACACATTCACAAATTTCCATTTTTTATATATAGTCGGTAGATTAGGTAGATACTACTAAAGAGTTAGTAGAGACTACTATAGTCAGTATATACTACTGTAGTCATAGTAGATACTGCTATAGTTAGTAGATACTGCTATAGAGTCGATAGATACTATTATAGAGTCGGTAGATACTACTACAGTCAGTATATACTGCTATCGAGTCGGTAGATACTACTATAGGGTTAGCTACTACTAGTCAGAATATACTACTGTAGATTTAGTAGATACTGCTAGAGTCAATGGATTCTCTTATAGAGTTGGTAGATACTACTCCAGTCACTAAATACTACTATAGAGTTCATAGATACGACTGTAGAGTTAGTAGATACTACTACGGTAAGTAAATACTACTACAGTCAGTAGATACTACTATAGCGTCAATAGATACTACTGTAGAGTTAGCAGTTACGACTATAGTTAGTGGTAGTAGATACTACTGTAATGGTTTCAACTGAGTCACAGATGTAGACTTGGAGGCAATACATTTATTCAGTTCCAACACCAGGCTAACTACACTAGCTACAACGTAACTGCTACTATGGACCGGGGCCAACAGCTTAGGGCCGGGTCCACGTGTTGGAGACTCGTTGAACGTAGAACGTTGACGTAGGTTTCTTCCAGGATGAACAAAAACCCCGGTCCCTCTCGGGACCCGGCTTATATTCTCTGTGGCATGGCCGGCTCCGCCCTTGGCCACGTCCACCTTCCAGAATCCTTGGGAAGGATCTGGATCCCAATCACGTGACCACCCCCCCAAGCCCACTCCTGGGGCCCCTTTGTAGACTTACCTGGTCACGTGTACTACCGGGTCAACCCGAGTGCCATGGCCTCGAGTAACCTCATCCTTCGGCCGGCACCCACACACCTTGTCCTGTAGGGTCGGCACTGCACGCAAAGCGTGGTGCCATCTAGCGCTATCATTCAGCGCTCACCGGGCCCCTCTAGGGCCGGTACTACACCCACACCCCTGTGGTATCGGCGATGGCACTACACCGCACGCTGTCCCTCTCTAGGGCAGGCAATGCACGCAACATGTGGACATCCAGCAATGTCACTACACTACTATAGAGTTGGTTGATACTACTATAGTCAGTATATACTGCTGCAGAGTTGTTAGATACGACTATAGAGTCAGTCGATACTGCTATAGTCAGTAGATACTGCTATAGTCAGCAGATACTGCTATAGTCAAGATACTACTGTAGAGTCAGTAGATAATACTAAAGAGTCTGCAGATACTATAGAGCCAGCAGATACTACTGTAGAGTTAATAGTTACTACTATAGAGTCAATATACTATCAAATCAGTTGATACTGCTATAGTCATAAGATACCATTGTAGAGTCAGTAGATAACACTATTGTCGGTAGATACTACTATAGAGTCGGTAGATACCACTATAGAGTCGGTAGATACTACCGTAGAGTCGATAGATACTCTTATAGTCGGTATATGATACTAGTCAGTAGATACCACTACAGTCAGTATTTTCTGCTGCAGTCAGTAGATACGACTACAGAGTTAGTAGTTACTACCATAGTCAATAGATACTACTATAGAGTCGGTAGATACTACTGTAGAGTCAGTAAATACTGCTACTACGGTCAGTAGATTCTACTACAGTCAATATATACTAAAGTCAGTAGATACTAAAGTCAGTAGATACTACTAAAGTCAGTAGATACTACTATAGTCAGTAGATACTACTATACAGTCAGCTACAACCACAGTCAGCCGATACTACTGTAAAGGAGTAAAATGGGGACATGACGTCATGTGTGCCGTCCAGTGCGATGACGTCACGGAACGTGGCATCATGCGCGCTGGGGGGCTCGATGACGTCATGTCTCGTCTAGTATTTAAGGGGGACCCCGTGACGAAAGCGGGGTCACTGTGGGAACGGGTAGAGTAAGAAGGGTGGAGAGGGAACCAGGGCTAGAGAGGGATCGAGTGAAGAGTCTGGAGTGAAGCCGCTGGTAGCCATAGGAGGTGCTGCTCTTCCCGGTCGGTGGGGTTGGCAAATTCCCCCATCCGACTCGAGGGAGAGAGACCGGAGCTAGCCAGGCTGGACCAGGACTTAGTGTAGGACCCCTAACCCCTGGGAAGTTGTCCCACCCTTTGTGCTATTGTAATACACTTAATAAACCTTTGGCGAAAGCCCTTACCTTCAAGCCGTCTCCGAGTCGTCGTCGGGAACTCCTCAACACTACTATAGAGTCCGTAGATACTACTGTAGCGCCAGATACTACTATAGAGTCACTAGATACTACTCACTCTATTATATGTAGGGTGTGTAGGTATATATGCCTACGGGGGGGGGTGGGGGGTGGGTAAAAATATTTTTTGAGGGCGGGGGGGTCGACAATTTTTGGAAATCTTTTCGATCAACTATTTACCCCCCACTTTCTATAACTTTTGTTTCAGGACTTCTGCAAGCCTCTTATAATTTTGTTGATGGACAAATGGACAAACAGAACACCGGGCTTTCACAATAGCTTAGTATTTGTGTATGTATATGTTATTTTTTTAAGAGAAGACAAGTTTTTAAATATGTTTTCCCCCGGTAAACGCCGGGTACTTCCTGCGAGTAGCATATAAAACCACATTATATGTATATCCAATATATTTTTCGCACCTCTGATTAGCACGGTGGCTACGTACCATGCGAAAGAAGTTCCACCTACATACGTGCAACCTAGGCGGGCTGGTTATTGCCGACATTGCCATTAAAAGGTAGGGTCAATGCCTATATCCGATGCCTGTCCATTCAATGCCAGGCTAAGGAATCTTGAGAATTGCCCATAACGAATGTACAAATTCATGAACGGAATGCTGAATATTAATAAGTGCGTGATTACCTTTGCACAATTTATTTTTAACGCCTTGGGGTGCTTATGGGTAGTGCACTCCTCTTCTCTAACAATTGAAATGTTCCAAGTTTAATTTCTGATAAAAGGCTCAACTCAGCCCATCATCACTCCGCGGGCTGATACAACGATAACCACTTTGTGGGAAGTCGACAGTGTTTGTCCAGAAGAGTGACCCCCCCCCCCCCCACCCCTAGGAATATAACATTTGGCTTTGGGAGCACAGAAGAATGCCCCATCATGTATATTATAGCAGAGACATTCCAACTCAACTGACAATGTCAATAATAAACAAAGTGACATGTATACATTTTTGTGTAGATCCTTCACACACACATACAGAATTCCAATCGTTCACTCGGCAAGGGTTCCTTCGCACCTGGTTCATTTTTGGCAACTCCTTCATAGACTTCTCCCTCTCCTCCTTCTCCTCCTCCCACTTGCGCAGCATTTGTCTGTAGTCCACCGCCTCCTTCTGGCTCGCTCTCCTGTCTGCAGCAGACACACACCAACACGCACTTGAGCAGTCTAACCCCGAGCAAGATGCAGGGGGAGGAGCATGCGTAGCCTACAGCTAAATGTACTCACTCCGGATGTACAGCCTGTTCCCGCTATAATACTAGCAACATATAACAATACCATAACAATCCTAATTTATAATGTGCATTCCATCCAAGGATCCCAATGCACACTACATGAAAGGCAGGACACAAAAACAGAATCAGGGCAACCGACCCAACTAAAGAGGGAAGGCCACTTAAAAGAGATGGGTTTTCAAATTGAGGGGATGTATACCCTTTCGCTATGATAGAATAATAACAAGAGCTATTTCAGTCACTTTATCACTCCAATGCTGGAGGAAGGTTTCCCCCCACACCGTGTCGATCATGCTGACCGTTTGTGTCCATACTTCACCACATTTGGTCAGAGCAGGTTGGTGAAGTGGGAAGGTTCTAGATCAATTCGGATAACACACGCCACTGATGTTAGCTGTGGCTGGGAATTTAACTCGGGCCGCCAGCTTTTATTGCACGGTGCGTAAACCACCACGCAATCGTTCCACCCCCACTGCTGCTTACACTAATATAATGTGTAGCCTGTCACTAAATGCAGAGGCACCATGTATCATCAGCACAAGTGTGTGCTTGTGTGTATATGTATGTTGAATTTCTTTCGCACCGTGAATAGCGATCCGTGCTAATTGGAGGTGTGGTATATTCTGTCAGTGCTGAAGATGCACCTACGATAGTGTGTGCGCTCAGTGCATAGGTAGTCGATGCACCACTGTGTGTGCAGCTTCCCAAGGACATAAAAAGACACTGGTGGTTTTAAATTTAGGTCTTGCTCTTCACTCAAGGCCCTGGATTTTGCCAAGAAGTATGTTCTCTGTGCAATTGTTTCGATTGAAATGCACAAGAATGTGACAATTGTTCGTCTGTATACGGCAAGGGCTATAGCTGTTATCGGATTAACTTTTAGTGTAACACACAAGACGGTCGTTGGGCTGAGCGGCTCAGGGTTGGAGAGCTAAAAACATCCCTCTCTGCATCGATTTGCAGAGCCTCAGAGCTTAAACAGTACCCAACCACCGAAGTGTATTTGCACACTGGCTTAGTGCCTGTGCAGGGGCTTCAATAACACCAGCACGACTGACCATGTATAAATAAACCTGCTTATAATTACCCTGCTTAGCCGAGAGGTTAGTAAAACCCAGCTTGCCGAAGGGAAAACCATGGAACTACATGACCTGCGAAAGCCGGATACACCGCACCTCCCATGTTTTTGCCAAGTGCAACTGCACATTCATATTGGGCATGTTGCCACACCTGCCCATAGGTCATCATGGGAGCAACAGCTGACGACCCACTTGCCCAGCTGTTGGAGTGTGTTGTGCATAGCACTCTTGATTCATTCAAATGCACAACCATTCAAACTTGATAACCCATACACAATGGCCTGTGTGTGCACACGGACAATTCGCTTATAACCCCAGGCAAGAAAGCCATAAACAATCGAGAGAAGGCATCAAAACAATGCATCTGGTCAAATCACCCCGAAATGCACCAAATCTCATCAGATCTGCAAAGCTAAGCAGTCAACACGATAGAGTAAGCAAAATACCCTCTAGAGGAGGCCCTTGTGCCGGCAGTGACATGAGCAAGCAATTACATGGCTGCAACCTTGATCTATTTTTTTTTAGTCATTCGAAACCCCACTTACCAGTGTTGTTCTGTGCGTCCATGTTTATGAACCCATCCTCCGCGTCACTGCGATCTGCAGCGTCCGAATCTACGGGAACATATCCGACACGTGGATACATTACAGGTTTAAGTTGCGTGCATCGCTCCACTCAACACCACAGTGATACACATTCTCGAATGTACTTGCATTATGGGTAAAGTGCGTGAACGGATATTTCTCTCTTAGCCGTGTGATCTAAAAACATAAAGAAGCTAATTTAATTACGTTTTATTATATCTAATGTTAAAAGTATATGCGGACGGTGCACACCAAGTAACTTTATTTCAAAGGTAGAAATCACTACACCGTGAGGGCAAAAAGAGATTAAAACAAGCTGAGGCGGATGTGGCAGTAAAAAGGGGCATAAAGGGATGTGAATAGATGCAGATGCTGAGAGAACGCCATGGAGTAATGGGCAGTGATAATGAACTTAAAACTCACAGATAGCCAGTCACAGACATGGAGAGAGGGCACGGGAGGAGCGTGTGAAGAGCTGGAGGCAAGGAGGAGCCCCTGGATGGAGGCAGAGAAAAAAGCTCTACGTCCTCTCCGCCTGTGAGGAGGGGGGGGGCCCAGGCAGCGGGCATGAGGGATTGTGGCACGGAGAGGGAGCCATGGGAGTGGGTTGCAGGGGAGTTGAAGGGAAGCAGAGAGAGAGAGGAGGCAAGGAACAAAAGGAGAAAGCAAGAGAAGTGATAGGACAGGAAGATATGATGGAGAGCAACAGGAATGTTACTTATGAAATAGATTAACACGGAATAAAATGAAACGGCAGGAGTGGGGAATGCTAAGTTAATGGTGGTTAAAACAAATCAAATAGACTGTTTTCCTGCTCCAACAATGCAATCAAGCATCACCAAGCCTCAATATTATTTTGGTCCATTCCATTAATTATTTGCCGTTTGACTTGTGAGAGGAAACCGGTATACCTGGGGTTAATCCAACGGCGTGAAGGAAGAACACTCACAGCTCTGCGCTGATGGATTCATTATATAGCAGGGATCTCATCTCCTCGTGACTAAAATCTTAGTGGTGGAAATAACATATTTCCTATAGAAACCTGGCCTATGGATATGACAAGCAGAGATTCAAGTGGTATTAATTTTTTTGGACTTCGAAAAGGGAATGAACCGAGTCAACTGTCAACAAATATTTGGCTTTGCAACTTTTTAGATTTTGACATTCTGAGGTAGAATCAAGGGTGGCTCACCAGGGGAAATCAGCAGCAGAAAAAACATTTTTTTTTTAAATTTAGAAACACCAAGTAAAAAATCCAAATTGAAATATATTACAATAATGTAGGCAAATATACAATCAGCAGATGAATTAGTCAGAAGACAGATGGTGAAGACACACTATACTAAACCAAAATTAAAAAAATCATCCTTGCAGTAAATAGGTGGAGAAAACAGAAACGCAGTGTGTCTAGGGAACATCTGTCCATTGTCATTACTGGCCTGGCTTGCTGCATAACAGAACGCTTCAAGGTAATTATTTATAGGGAGTCCACTGGCAATACCTTCTATGAGATGCAGTCGGTACAACATTCGCAGTTTCTCCGTCAAGTCTCCGTTGTAGAGCACACCTTGGATGGGGCATAAAACAAAAACAGTCGTAAACATGATAAATGGAGGCAGTGTTCATCGATGCTGAAGGCCCTTAAAGAGTGGTTGCAAAATTAATCAACATTTCCATAGCGTGCACCACTCTGCCAAGGGCAACCACCTCCGAGACTTACCACAGTTGTACGTATTATAAAGAACCTCAGAATGGTAACTCATAAAATATAGATAAAGGAGTCAAGAGCTTGAACCACAGTGCCACATCTGGGCAAATTCTAAAGATATTAACGACCTTGCATGGCATACAGGAGGTTGTGAGTTCAATCCCAATCCAGACGCCTGTATATTTGGAGTTTGCATGTTTGTGTGGATTTTTTTCCGGGTCCTCTGGTTTTTCCCTCCACGTTAAAAATCAACATGCTTTTAGAGTATTTGACTGCTATCAATTACCACATGATAAGCCAAATTGTTCAGCTATCATGTGATAGCCAGGTCGCTTCTGAAAAAGAACCATATAGCTCAGTGGGTCTTACCTGGTAAAATAAAAAAATAGTTTAGTTCGAATATATTTTGCCATCTGAACACACAACGGCATGGCGGGAGGGTGGACCGTCACACACGCTCCAGGAGCACGCTGCGAAGGCCTTTCGACCGTGGGACCCGCGGAAGACACGGCACGAGTCGCCTCCGCTCGCGTGGCCTTCCCCTTCCGTCGAGACTCACCGAGCCACAGCACGAAGTCGCGGAAGTTGATGAGGCCGGTGCGAGCGACGTCCATCGCGGAGAAGACGCGCGAGAAGAGGCAGGCCGAATGCTCGCCGCACGCCCACGGCGAAAGGTGCGCCGAGAGGCGGAGGAACTGCTCGAGGCACACGCGGTACTGCTGCATGTACGGCAGGCTCGGGTCGTGGCGGCCCAGCGCGGCGCGGCCCCCGTCGGTGGCCCAGTAGACGCTCTGCACGTGAACGAGCTGTTGCAAAACGGCAACAGGTTAAACTGCTGCTGCACGCTTACAGAGTAAACACTACTTTCAACTGAATGTTTGTTTTGTTTTACCTGGTAAGGCCCAATTAGCAATACAGCTCTTTTTTTAGAAGTGACCTGGCCACCAATGGTAGGCTCAACCAAGTGGTTTATCACGTGGAAATGTACAGCAGCAAAATACTTCCAAGTATAGTCGCATGCCGGTTGTAAACATTTTCCACTGCACATCTGACCCATCCCAGCGTGGGGCGCCCCTCTCGGTCCGGGAAGTTTTTCCCACTGGCTATTTATAGAACTGTTCCAGAACCAAACCGCGAAATTGTGCATCACAAAAAATCCGGTTAAGGGCCATGCAGCGCCAGAGTTAATCGTTTTTTTGTCATACAATGTGCGTGTGATGTCGGCAGGACGGCTCTGGTTCTGCAGTGAAAATTAACCTGGTGCTTCCTGAGCCGTGCGCTGGGCTGGCATGGCACACACCCCTGGCACCGCGCAGTTGTACAGTACAAAACAAGATTCAAAACCGCACACATCCTCGCAACAAATATTTACCAACCGGCGCAACAAGAAACAAATGAGAAACAACAGCTTTCACATTCTGCGGAAAAAAAAACATCTTGGCATCAACAAGCATTGCAGATGTGTACAACTCACCTTGAACAAATCAAACAGATCTTCAAGCACTTTTGCTGTGAAGCCAGTGGGCCCAGTTGAGATTGCCCTCACCTTCGGAGCAAACGACAAAAAAAGTCAAGAACGTTTAACATGAACAACGTCTTTATAAAGAGGCAAGCCACGGAGAACGTCAATATTCTCCTCACGAGTGCACCGCTTGGGATGTCTGACCAATTCCTTTTAGTGTTAGTCTCTTGCGCGCAGGAAGAATAACACTCAAAACGTCTATAGCTCCGAGAGGTGACCAAGCTGTTTGCTGGACTGTCCTTCACTGGGCACCTCACCGCCCCTGCAGGTGGACTTATGAGGCACGTGAGCCAATGGCGATTCACCAAGCCCCTTCTAGAACCCTTCTGGACTGCGGGCGTGCACTACCTCGCCCCGGCTAAGCGTGCCTCGCGTAGCTGCGATTGTGTAGGCGAGGGCCAGTGTTCCCGAGTGCAGCTGTCAGAGGGTCAGGAGCAGATATGTGGAGGGGTCCCCCTGCGGTGGCCGGTATTGGGAGGGCCAAATCATGAGCACGTGTGGGCTCTAATGTGCGTGAGGCGCGGGTTTTGAAGTCCTCACCACGTTGCGCTTGGTGGTGTCCTCCAGATACTGGATCACCTTGAGCCTCTGCCGGAAACGCATCTGTTCCATCAGCTCCGATTTGATGCTGCCAAACCTCTGCAAAAATCACGGTGAAACCAAAGTCAGAGATGCGTAGGCAGCACCCCCAGATTAACAAGGCGGCATTCAGGATGTCTGCCAGTCATTGCTCCACGTTATTTTATTATCAGTCTACAGATTGACACGGCAGTATAAAAAAAAAACATGACTCAAAAACGTTATCCATTATATTGTGGACACGTGTCCAGCAGGGCTGCCCGATATGAGTTTTATGTTTTTTTAATCAGACAAAAAAACACTGTAAAGTCCTGCTCAGAGGCTCCATCATGGTACATTAGTCAAGTGACTGTGCCGTCACTCGCATACATTATTAACACGTCAACGCAATGGCCATCATGAGAGCATTGTCAATGTGAATGACCTTGATGTTAATATAGAATTTCACAAGGATGAAGCGTCAAATTCCGGTTAGACAGCCTACGTGTGCGCCGACAAGATCAGACCCATTACTCGTTTTTAGTTCATCGTTGATTTTTGGGTTAGGGCACTTAATGGTCTGACCAAATATTTGTTATGGGTTGTGTCTTCCTTTTAGACACAAGTGAGTCATCATAACCATCAGCCATGATCAATCCCATTGCTGGACAAAGGCCTCCCCCAAGCCTTCACCATCACTAATGGGTCCTGCGATGAACGATATCAATCTACAGACGGCGTGTAGACCAGTCGACGACTGGAAACCCAGACGAGTCGGCGGGCCGTGCGAGCGGCCCTCCTTCACCTCAGCGGGCCGCAAGCATAACATTGTGCTTGTCCACTAATCATGACCCCACACGTCACCCTAGACACACGGAGACCAGGCTACACGAGCGGCCCTTGTTCACCTCAGCGGGCCGCAAGCGTAACATTGTGCCTGTCCACTACTCATGACCCCACACGTCACCCGATAGACACTTAGACCAGGCCACCACAAGGGGCTCCCCGCAGGTCGCCCACCACTGCTGTGGACTCTGTTAACTATTTTGGCCACTCTCATCCCAGTAAGGCAGGTGGGGGGGGGGGGTGAATGGCCGCGTGGGAGTGAGCGGAACCTCGTAGGCTGTGTGCAGGAGGTCCGAGATCTCCATGGGGGCCAGGGGCTGCCCGTCGAAGTTGGCCGTGGCGTGCATGCTGGGCACGCACGGCAGGATGCTGTCCACGTTTACCACGCTGTCCAGGTACCTGCGTGGCGGACGCGTAGCTTTCTTTTAAAATTGAACTATGTATTTCCTTTAAATTATTTTTGCATCAAAACACGCTTCGGTTAAATGTGACGATGCAGTATCACAACAACAAAAAACCGGCACATCGTCTCCACAATTGAAAATAAGTAACTCAGCGGGAATATAGCAATTAATGATCAACATCTTTTTGTTTTAATTCATCATCAGCCACGTTCTATCTAAAAAAAAGTTATCAGGTAAAGCTCCTAAAGCTATTAGCTATTTTTCAGAAGTAACATGGCCATAAATGATAGCTCAACGAAGTGGTTTATCATTACGTGGACATTATAGCAGACACTCTAAATGCACGTTGATTCGAAATGTGAAGGGGAAAACTCGGAGAAAAATCCACGGGGAGAACATGCCAAAGCGCCAAATATACAGCAGGCGTTCAAGTCGGGATCGAACCCATGACCTCCTGTATACCAGGACGAGGTAGTTATCATCTCGCCACGATGGCGCCCCTATTCGCTTCTGGACGAAGGCCACTTGGTCGCCACATATCACGGTTATCGGCCGACGGTCTCCGAAGGGAGTGGAGATCAAGCGGTCACCACCGACCACCCCCCCCCTTTCCCGCCCCGACTTCTGCCCGACAACGGAGTCACCGACCGTCCGAGCAGCATCATGGCCTCGCCGTCGTCGCGGCAGGCGAGCAGCGGCTCGGCGTTGGCGTGTAGAACAGCGAGCGCCAGCTGGAAGAGGACGCGCGCGCCGTCCAGCATGAAACAGTCGAGCACGCACGCGGCGCTCTCGAGTGGCAGCACCGACAGGAAGAGCGTGAGGAACCACGAGAGCGACGTGGTGGCGATGAAGCCCAGCTCCTGAAGGCGCTCGTGCAGCGTCGGGAGGAACTCGGCGATGAGCTCCTCGAACACGCCCTGGTCGATGAGGGCACCTGCAGAGGCATGGGGGGGGACAGGCACGGATGAGTTTCGTCAAAAGCCGAACACGCCCTAACGAAAGAAAAACAAAAAGCTCACAACAAAGGCGAGGCTCTTTGCAGATTAAAAATGGGAAAAAAGTTTCTGTAAGATAAAATCCTTCCCAGACGCTCAAGCCACAACTGTACACGCTTTAAAACAACTTTTCACGAGTTGATATTTGTTCACTGTCAATAAGTACTTTCCCAGTTTATGAGAAATAATCTTATTACAAATTGCATTGGCTTGCAACAGGGAAGCTGTTGTCTATCTAATGATCACACATGTAGGTGTAAGTTAACGTGCGAAACAGCCACAAATGGCCTGAGCGATTCTGCCAGCCTAGACAAGACATATGGAATGGCTTTACAGCAACCTCTGCAGACACGCTTACTTCCTGACGGGAGTTCATGATAAAAATGGAACTCAGCCACCCTAGTTGCCCACCGTTAGTGCCGGTTCTGGCGGCCTCTATCATTCTGCCGTCCCTTACACTTTTCCAGCCCAAGCGGTTGCCCATTTGACCCGCTCGCTCCAGCCCGGTATGGACACGGCGTGCAGCGCTCACCGACCACGCGGTTGTTGTAGTAGTCCGGCAGCAGCCGCTCACACAGAGCCACCAGCAGCCAGAAAGCCTCCTCCTCACTCGCAAAGATGAGCAGAGCTGACGTCACAATGTTCATGGCCTGCAGAAGAACGAGCGATGGCGGCGTCATTGGTCGTCTCATTGGTCGGCAGGATGGCAACTGCCAGAACATTCGCTTGCAACCGTACGGAATGCACGATAGGTGAAGGATGCTCATCTGATTAATGGGACGTAGTACATTTACTTAGCGAGGTGCGTTACATGAGGGACCTCCGAGTTTGCGCATGGCGGTTACATGCACAGGTCACCATGGTTGTGTTGTAGCCTGTAATAATATAAATAATAATCCATTCTTGCACACACAATTCGACGCCTGTATCGTAAATCTAAAAATACATTTTAATCGACCGATCGCTCCAGGTCCGAAAACGGAGGCGCGACACAGTCTGCGCGCAGGTGGCATTTACGAGCGGCTCTGCTGCCTCGTGCTCTCTCACGATCGCGTGCCCACGCGCGAGGGCTTGCGCGTGCGCGCGCATACAAGCGCATACGAGCGCATGCGTGTGCATGACTGTGCGCGCGTGTGCTCGCTCCAACAGCTGGGCTCGCCTGGCAGTATCCGATGCGCGGGTTGCGGTGCGCGTAGGCCGTGAGCACGCGGCGCAGGGCGTCGATGCCCAGCGGGTGCTGGAAGGCCGGGTGCTCGGGCAGCGAGCGGTGGAGGTCGCGCTCAATCTCCTCCGTGGCGATGCTGGCGCGGCCCAGCGAGCGATCCACCAGCTCCGCGTAATGCCCGGGATTCGAGCCCATGTCGTGCACCGCCCCTGCGCGATCCCCACAAATCGCAATGCGCGCAAAGTATGTTGAATGTACGCTGAACTTCTTTCGCGCCGCACGTGGCCAACTGTGCTGATCGAAGGAGCGGGGGGGGGGGGGGGAAGGACAAAAAGCTGAACATAAAAAGCAGTTCTGAAGAAATGAGTTTTCAATCTGGATGATTTAAAAGTGCACAGCTCCAGTGGCTTCCTAATATCGGAAGGAAGCACACGTTCCAGACGGCCGCAGAAGCGCATCTGAAAGTGTGCGATGCAGTGACCGTCTTTGTTCGGTGGCTTTTCAAAAGCCCCTGGGGAGGATGACCGGAAGTCGCCTGATGGTTTACAAGCAACACTTCAATCTCGTTGCCGACGTGCGCACGTAAAAAACAAAATAACGGAGCGGTAGAACATCGCCGGCGGTGGCCTGAAAACGCTGGCCGAGCATAATGGCCACCCGCTCTCTCTGAAGAAGAAGAAGAAACCACAGCCTCGCAAATAAAACAAAAATCAGTCCGCTTCATGTTCGTCCGCGTAGCTGGCAGTCGTCGCGTGCGCCGCACCTGAGAAGAGCAGCCAGAGCTCTCGACGGAGCCGCACGGGGATGCCCTGCATGACGAGGTGGCGCGTGTGCTCCGTCACGTACATGCACGTCGCGCGGCCAAACTGCTGGAAGTGCTTCCGCCACATCTCCTCCTTTGACACCTCCTTCGACTGCAAAAGGCACCGCCAAACTCCGGGGAGTCAACCGGTGCAAATCTCATCACGATCATCGGAACCTTGACAAGCACATTAAAGAAATATCCCTCCACCATTTTATTTCTCATACACATTGTATGCATTATTTCTAGAGCTGAAGCTTTCGCGACTGCAAGGAATCATACTCTTTGGTTTTTGCGGTAAAGTCGCGTAGGTAAAACAAAATTAAAAGAAAACAACTAAATCAAATCACGACGTTTCGGAGGCAAACACAAGCTTCCGTCTTCAGGTGGAACAGTCACAGCAAGATAGCTGCATCAAGTGGGGAGCTCTTAGACCCTCGAGCTTATATACTGGTTAAGATGGGGGGGAGGAGCCAAGCAGGGAGCCAGGACGGCGTGCGGGGCTAAGGTTAAGGTGGCTCCCTGCTTGGCTCCTCCCCCCCACCTTAACCTTAGCCCCACACGCCATTGTGGCTCCCTGCTTGGCTCCTCCCCCCCACCTTAACCTTAGCCCCGCACGCTGTCATGGCTCCCTGCTTGGCTCCTCCCCCCCACCTTAACCTTAGCCCCGCACGCCATTGTGGCTCCCTGCTTGGCTCCTCCCCCCCACCTTAACCTTAGCCCCGCACGCTGTCATGGCTCCCTGCTTGGCTCCTCCCCCCCCACCTTAACCTTAGCCCCGCACGCCGTCGTGGCTCCTCGCTTGGCTCCTCCCCCCCACCTTAACCTTAGCCCCGCACGCCGTCGTCGCTCCCTGCTTGGCTCCTCCCCCCCCCCCCACCTTAACCTTAGCCCCGCACACCGTCCTGGCTCCCTGCTTGGCTCCTCCCCCCCCCCCCCACATTAACCTTAGCCCCGCACGCCGTCGTGACTCCCTGCTTGGCTCCTCCCCCCCACCTTAACTTGTATATAAGCTCGAGTGTCTCAGAGCTCCCCACTTGATGCAGTTATCTTGCTGTGACTGTTCCACCTGAAGACGGAAGCTTGTGTTGCCTCCGAAACGTCGTGATTTGATTTAGTTGTTTTATTTTAATTTGTTTTACCTACGTGACTTTACTGAAAAAAAACATTCTATGCAATAAATTTGCAAAAGGTGCATCAGTTTGTCAATCTGATGCTCCAAATTCGCTGTAATGTAAAAAAATATCGATTATTAAATCAAATCGCAATCCTGAGCCCTGAAAAACAGTGAATCACAAGAGTAGCAAACCTTAAAACGTCAGTTAAATTTTGAATTAATTAGATTTACATTGGTAATTTCTTTAAGTGGATATATTGATTTAATTGTCTTTTTGGAGCACGTCAGCAGTTCATAACACATACATCTATAAATGTGCTTGCTGAGGCTGTGTAGAGAGTCCTGTGTAGTCAATTGTACATTATAAAGATGATCATTAATTTGTTTATTAAGTGACGGTTAGGGCAGGGAGTTCCACAAGACAGCAAATCCACACCAATCCACTACACCGGTATTTCCAAAGCACTTATTACAACCGCGCTGACCCAGGATCGAAAATTTGTGAGACGCAAATCTTGGTCGGGTCGTTTCCTCCGCCCATCATCCCTCCTGTGTCACTGAAACGTGCAACCACGCTGTGACGAGTTTATAAAGTAAACTATGATACTTTTTTTTACTTTACGAGGTAAGGCCCCAGAAGCTATATACCTCTTTTTCAGAAGTGTCCTGGCCACAAATGAAAGCTCAATGAAGTGACAATTTATAGCAGCCAAATACTCAAAAACGCATGTTTCTAAATGCGGAGGGAAAAACCGGAGGAGCCGAGAGAAAAATCCACGAGGCCACGGGGAGAACACGCAAACTTCGAATATACAGCAGGCGTCAGGGTCGGGATCGAACTCACAACCTCCTACATACCAGGCGAGGTAGTTAACAGCTCGCCACCGTGGCACCCCTTATGTCCTGTGCAAAGACCGTGTAAAAATTATTAAGGGGATGTGCGATGTACACCACTGGCTCAAGGCTGCCAATGAAGATGAGCAAGATGACACATCGACCTGATATTGTCACGGAAACCATTATCTCATCACTTCATCAGTTACCTCCGTGTCCCTACGACAGCTACCGCCGCATTCCTTCTTTTAAATGGTATTCCAGGAGTCCGTCCGATCTCTATGACGTGGTCTACACACTTTGAAAACGCATCTCAATCCGTGCAGCATGCAGCCAACTCACTGCACGTTGGAACATTCCTTTTCATAGCCTCACGAAGCTTGGCTCTGGAAGCCTCTTACTTTATCCATCTTAGGTGGGTTGCAGTGTGGGCCAAGTTGTTGTGTTTTTGTTGCTGAAACAAATGGTGGTGAATATTTCACTCTTGTCCGCCTGCGGCCTCTTCTCCATTGGGAAAACCACTTTTGATTATCGGCATCGGTAAAGAACTCAATCTCCTGTTAGAACACACTGACAAAGATAAGCTACACCCTGCCAATTGATTGTCCCACGGAGTATGCGCTGGACACATTGAAAGCCAAGACACTAATATGTCCATTAGTTAAACCTGTGCAATGAAAACTTAACATTGCAGACAATTGTGGGGAGACTCAGAGGTAACAATTCAACATCAGCACTGTTGGTATATTTCATTAAAATTATCTCATCTCGCCTAACCATTAGACACCAGTGTAATTACATCACTTGGGCATTGGCAGGAAGTGCTCATCAACTAATGAGGCACGGCATGACGGAGCTGAACATCCTTATCGGTTGCCAGTTCACAGAAAGCAATGCCACAGCAACCAGAGCCACTTCTGTAATGTCAGTTGTCTAGGCTTCCTTGTTCTGCAACTACAAACTGTAGAGACAGAAAATATTGCTTTTAGCAAAGCGAATACAAACATCTAAATGACGTAACATCTTCTTAAACAAGCACTCAACTCCACTCGTGGTCCTTGATATCGTGTTCCACCATACTGTTTTGTTCTGTAAGCCGCTACCCCGCGGTGATCAATAATAGAAGACAATGCTTGCATTGCATGTTGTGTTGCAAGCCTAGATGTAGTATTAGTAAACTATACACTAAACTATTTTTATTTCACCAGTTAAGGCCCACTGAGCTAGAAAGCTCTTTTTCAGAAGCGAAATGGCAACAAATGATAGCTCAACTAAGTGGCTTATCACGTGGACATTTAGAGGTGCCAAATATCCTAAACACAATGTTTCTAACTGTGGAGGGAAAATCCGGAGAACGCGGAGAAAAATCCACGAGATCACAGGAAGAAGACGCACACTCCAAATATACAGCAGGCGTCGGGGTCAGAATCGAATGCACAAACTCCCGTTTACCAGGCGAGGGAGTTAACATCTCGCCATCTTCTTGCGAGCAACTTTCCCATTTTAAAGCAGAGATTGCGTACCAGTTTTATATTGGGCTCCTCGAAGCCACCTTGATAGAAGACGTTGAGGAGCGGCTGTGTCCCTGTGAAGCTCACGGCGCCGTTGGTTTTCTCAGACCCACGTGGCTCGTGTCCTGCCACCTCCTCGTCGCGGCTGTTGCTCTCGCACGGAATTACCTATCGGATATTTCAAGCAGGACGGCAGTAACACTTGATCGCGGAAGACACCGCATGAGACAGACTATAAACTAAACTAATTTTACTTTACTCGGTAAGGCCCACTGAGCTATATAGCTCTTTTTCAGAAGCAACTTGCGTCACAAACGATAGCCCAAACGAAGTGGCTTATCACGTGCAAATTTAAAGCAGCAAAATGCTATAAACATGTTGATTTTAAATGTGGAGGGAAACCCCGGAGGACCCAGAGAAAAATCCACGCAACCACAGGAAGAACATGCAAACTCCAAATATGCATCCGTCAATGTCGGAATCGAACTCACAACCTCCTGCATACCAGGCGAGGTAGTTAACATCTCACCAACAGGTTCGCTGGGGACTGCGAGTCAGTTTACAAGTTCACAGATAGGGGAACTTCCAACTTAGCAATATGGTTAGTGAGCCATCACCAAGTCAAGATACAAATGTCATCATAGCCATAAACATGACTGATACTACACCTGGCTACAGCTTAGTTCCTTCTGTCAGATCCCACAAGTTTGAGCTATATACGGCTCAAACTGTGGCCAAATCCTATTTGCATTGTATCCTGGCGAGGAGTAGCTTGCAGTGCTTTGTAACTGATGATAAAAGGTCATTTGTGAGCACACTAGAACAGAAATATTTTGGCATGGGGTTTAGACTGTAACAAATTTCACCATGGGTTTCACAGCCTCTACCCACTCGGCAATAAAACAGGAGCACGGTATACATATGGTAGATTCATGCTGGTAGGTTAAAGTACGGGCCAAGTGAAATAGTTTTCTCACTAAAACCAGATTGAACTCACTTTCATCCACATCACTGCATCATGTCAATGGAGCAGTTAGGAGTTTCGTTGGAAGATAACGACACGACTCCGAATTGGAAGGATGCGAGTTCAAACACCCGTTGGAGGGGGTTGACTCAACACTTCATCCCTCTGTGTTTCAATAAACAGAGTAGCACTTTTGGGCAGCCCATGCTGTGTACCATGTATTGATTTGGTCCCTTGATAGGAAAAAAAACACCGCATACCATGTTTTAGAATATTCGCAAACATGGTGACATCCCAAAATTACTTCCCAGGTCTCTTTCGTTATTTGGCTGCTATAAATTTCTCGTGATAAGCCACTTAGTTGAAGTATCATTTGTGGCCACATCGCTTCTCAAAAATAACTAATTGCTCAGTGGGCTTTACCTGGTAAAATAAAAAAGTAGAGTTATAAGGTTGTGTATTTATAGTGATTTGCTTACATTTACCATACTTTGAACTCCTTTCGTTTTAATTGTTTGTTATAATTTTATGACCAGCTCCGATTGGACATCTGTGAAAAAGAGCTTCATAGCTCATCGGATTTCACCAGGATAATCAAAGGTTCTGATTATGTGCCTTGCAAACAAAGCAAAACTTTGAGTCTGTGTGTAAACAAAAAAAACAACCAAATGTTTATTCGGGATTTGTTTTGTTCATTCACTGAGATGAGACCAGGAACTTGCTCAACTTGAGGAGCCAGATGCAGTGCTCCAACAGGCGTTATTCCAGAGCGACGGTGACTCCTTGAATTCGAAATAACACAATACAAGGGTTGACAATGCGCCTCCTGCCCCTTCAATGAAACGTTATTTTTTTACATTCCATCACAGCCCTAATTTCAGCTTCATTGGTTCAACACAAGCAAAAGTCGCACCGCTATTTGACACTCGAGTGTCTCGTCAGCAGTCAGGTTTGCCTGAACCAACGCTGGGTCAATCACCGTACGTTTACAGGCAAGGGCCCTTGAATTGTTCAAGTAAAAGTCTCCTGAAACTCGACTCCGCGGCGCCGGATCCATCGTTTGATTTTTGTGTTTAGGCTCGGTGTCCTTCCTCCACACTTCCGATTAGCACGGTTGGCTAAGTGCGTGTGAATGAAGCTCAACATATAGAGTCTGTTCTCCTATACTGCGCGCATGCTTTCATAACGCGAATTGGATAAAATGCAATTAATGTATTTAGAGAACACATTTTTCACCACGCGGATGCAAATTGGATATCGCGCCATTTGAATTAACGGACCTACGTCGCGCGAGTAGGAATAAGCGGTTGTGCGGCCGCCTCAGTGCAGCATCACACAAGGCGGGATGCTGATGAATGCTGCTAGATGCCACCCGCGCTCCTCAGGCATTGTTCAGCCTGCACACGCATCTCACGTGTTATCGCGGGCAGTGTTTCATCACAGATTATTTATTAGAACGCGGTTGCCTTCAGGAACGCAACTATTGCGTGAAACGAGAACAGACTGTACAGAAACCGCGGAAGCAACGGTGGCAGCATCAGCCGTGGCGGTATCAGCGGCGGCGACATCAGTGGCGGCAACGGCACTCACCTCCCAGACGGATTTGCAGCGGTCGTCGTCGTCGTCGTCGCCGTCGCCGTCGCCGCAGCGCGAGCGCACGACGCTCCGCAGCCGGGCTCGCACGAGCGCCTGCCGCAGGTGCAGCAGCAGCGAGTCGCGCTCGCGCACGTGGGCGAACAGGAATGTAAGGCGGTTCTGCGTGCTCACAGCCAGCGCGTTGGGCAGCACGCTGGAGCTGGTGGCGGCCTCTATGACGACCACCTGCGCGCGCACCACCCACCCCACCGTCGTAACGAGAGTTAAAACGTTAACCCCTTTCGCAGTTTCGATGAGCCACCGCACTTGCAATGACTAGCCTACGCGGGGGGCAATGAAATTGGAGCCCCCGAAACTTGAAAATGATGAAGTCATTTACGAATACGGAAAAGCCTCAATCGGTGTCAATACTTTTTCAGGGGGGCTCTTGAATTGGCGTTTTTGGTCAATTCAATTCAACGGAGTGTTTCACGTGCGAGCGGCCAAAGCAACGTGGTGAGAACCCACATGAGCATGGGATGACCCAAAGTTCCGCAGAGATGGCTTCATGAACCAACTTGCTGCCCCTGTCACCTGCTGGCCCCGCCGTACAGCCCAGTTGGTTGCCGTGAAGACAATCTATATTATCTACCAACGCTTGTTTCCAAAGCGCTGGATTTACAGGTGTGTGCCATCATGCATGGCTCAATTGTGACATCGAGCCCCAATTCCAATCAGGGAAGTAAATTCTGCCCGCGTTCATTCCACGACTCGATTGATAACGCCTGGCGACAGGTTGTAGAGATTGGCCCCTGATATTGGAATGTGGAATGTATACAACTTGTCCAGGCACACCGAGAGAAGACGAGAAGTCGGCTTGCCTTCACACACCGAGTGAAAACACGACTTTTAATTTAGACTCAGGTTTGGATTGTTAACATTGCATAGATTCAGTGAAAGTTAAACAAGTATTCCGTTTTTTTTTTTAATTGTCAGCATGTTGCAAACCTAAAGTAAATCTACAAACAGGAATAACTGCTTGCAAGGTCTTGCGCCTCAAGTCCACCATTAGTCCTGCTCGGGATGCTCCGACAATTCCTTGAACAGTACCTTTCTTGTTGTGCCAACAGAACAATCATGCACCACATGAGTACATAAGTACATGTCCTCAAAACCCACTTTATTGTACTGCCACGTTAAAAGCCCTACAGTAGTAATCTTCACAAACTTTCAGAGGGGGGCCACTTTCGCCGATAAGACATCATCAGTGCGAGTGCCGCCACACACATTTGAAACCATAGGGGTTTGACAGCACGATAATGGGGGGTGTTTTCACTTTTGTGTACTGTCGGGGGCCGCACGTTAGTGGGGCCGCACTAAAGACCATCAGAGATCGCCAGTGGCCTGTGGGCCTTGCAATGAAGGTCACTGCCCTACAGGATGACAAGCGAGTAAGTGGGCATTTTCAGCTAGTGAGGGAATAATTGGGGGGAGGGGGGGGGGGGTGGGAGAGGAGGTGAATAAGTAGACGAATTGGCAAATGTGCGAGCGAATTAACAATCCCTTGACGCACGAGGGTACGAGTGAACAAGCGAGTGAGCGAGCCGAGCGGGCAGCCGTGACATCACCCGCCTCCAGGAACGGCACGACGATGGTGCAGATGCTGTCGTCGCGGCTGGCGAAGCAGATGTAGCTCTGCGAGGCGTGCAGGCGGCCGGACACGTGAGACTTGTCCGAGGGCAGCCACACGGTGCAGTCGCCTTCCACCTCCAGCTGTTCCGACCGCGGGAGTCGGAACTGCGCCCTGAAGCGAGCGCTCTGCGCACGGCCGATCAGCTCACTGCACGCGAGAGAACAGATGGACGACGTTTACCGCGGGAGGCTCGGCCCTCGAAACCGCCACCGGCGAAACACACACACACACGGGATTGAGTCTCGCTGCAAGGAGCACAGGCTGAACGAATCGCGACTGGAGCGGAGCCAATTCGTAAACTTAAGGCTTCGCTGCCAGCCAGGACACAGATAAATCACTTTCAGAGCGTCGTGCAGCCCAAAGCTGCCGGAGCATGGATTTAAGTCGTGACCCGATTACTCAGCATCAGAAGAAGTGCGTAGACACAGAGGTGCGGTTGAATGTGCATAACTAGTACTGCACGATACCACCGCGACTAGTGGTCGAATCCCACAAATGGCTATTCCATTCTGAATTTCGCAATTCTGGATATGACATCAATGAGTTAGCGGACGTCTGCTGTAAAACAAAACAAAAATCGCACAATATAAGCGTACCTCTACGAGCATGTTTACTATATATACTGTCATTACATACAAGCGGTGAATGAATAGTCTGTGGTTTACATTCCACTGGAGTACACCACTCCTGCGGGCCACGGATTTGTTGATTGTTCCTCGTACCGCTGCAGGCACGTGGTGTGAAGATGTACGCGTGCGAATGTGTGCGTAGTTGAACATTCGTTATGCCGTATCGCAATGACAAATTCTCCAGTGACAATTATCTATGGGCTGCTCGTGGACCAATAAAAAAAGTGCTCAGAAGTGATTTTGTGCAGCGGCGAATATTGCCGTGCAAAAAGTGAAGATGTGTAAAACGCTGTCATCACGTCTGGATGAGCGAGTGGCTGAGCTGAGCATTCTTTAGTTCAGGCACCGTTTTAGCGCCGTGGCCCCGCCGCGCTTGCCGGGGCTGTCGCCGACGGCGCCCGGCTGCGCCGCTGCTGGAGACGTTGTTGGCGCACCGTCGCGCTCGTCGTCGCCCAGCTCCACGCGCTCCCCGTCTAGCAGGCGGCGCACGGCGGCGTCGGCCAGCCGCTCCATGAGCACGTGCGTCTCGGCCACGTTGAGGAACATTGAGAAGTTGTGCTGCACGTGCCGCGTCGTCAGCACGACGGCCTCCGGGAATGGGGCAGAGCCCTTCTTCTCCAGACGCACCACGTCCACCCACGGGATCGCCAGCTTGGCTGTGGGCGCAGGTACAAACACGCGCCGAGGGGGCAATGCCGACGGCCTTGAACCACCGGGGCAGGTTTGAAGGGTGCGATCGGAGGCGGAAAGCGTCGACGGCAACGGTCGCCGCAGCATTTGCGATCTATAAATGCCGAATTGCCCGATTATCTAAGTAACGCTCATCAGTTCGCCCTCGTGGGAAGTTGGGAAGGCGACTCCGAATCGGATCACACACACGAGGTCACATGACTGCCTGACGTCAGAATCCTGTTTAGCTATGAAATGGCGGCCTCAACTCAGTGGTGTGGTGGGCCATGGTGGGCCATGGTGGGCCATGGTGGGCCTCTGAGCAAATTAATTTGAGCAATAGACTAATGCCCAATCTGTTGACCGATAACTTTTAAGCAACACTTTCGAACAAAGTCCTCTTTGCGTTGGCAAGAGAGAACTCGGTCACTCAATTCTATTGGCCACCAAATTGCCATGGCCGCTTATGGTTCATAGTTTTCATTAGTTTCATAGTTTCATTTATTTGGTATAGCCCTGTGAGCCATTCAGCTCTTGAACCGGGTGCAACCGCAACAAACAAAAAAACTAAAACACGAACAAGAAAACATCTTCAAGTGACTTTGTGCATGTGCAAACAGAAAATCCAGGAAAAAACATCAAACATATTCCTGAAATAGCACCGTACACCAACGCTGTGTGCAAAAATCCCAGTGGGATGCAAGTCAAACAACAACAAGAAAACTTAGATTAAGGCCATCAGTCTAACTCCGTACTACAATAAACAAAAACATGGCCAAAACAAAAAACTTTTATAAATCACCAAAATAAAGCCATAAATGCAATGTAACAGTGATCATAGGAACTGTGATCGAATTTTTAACAATAAACTACATAAATAACATGTAACACAAAACCCTAGAGCCACAGCTGGCTGCATGAGTCACTCCACAAACAACAGGAGCATCAGTCGGAGTATCACATTTTTCAATGCACCTTTAAGATCAGCACACTAAATCAAAATACAAATAATACTTTTCAGCGGTCATCCGGAGTGAAACATTTTATTTTAGGCCACTGAATAGCAGTGGCAGCTAGGGGTGTACAACTCCTCTAGAGCTGTTTTGAGAGAAGATCTCATTGGTAGCGATTCAAGTTGCAGTTTATTGGCAAAAGCATTCCAGACCCTGGGGGTATCAATAGCAGGAGCTTCAGCTCCTGATGCTGCTGGACAGCGATTGTGCGTGTGGGGTTTGTATCAAAAGCTTTGGACAGGTCTAGAAAAAGCCAGACACAGTACTGCTTATTATCAAGGCTACTGTAAATTTGATTCAGAGAGTCTAATGCAGCAGATGTGGTGCTGTATTTTTTTCGGAACCCAGATTGTTTTAGATGTAGTAGATTGTTAGTGGACAGGAAACTGCTAATTTGGTAGTTCAATAATTTTTCAAAAAAATTCATCAATGGGGACAAAATTGAGATAGGTGGGTAGTTATTGGGATCATCTTTAGGGCCCCCTTTGTGAAGTGGACGGACATAGGAATGTTTCCATTCTAGAGGAACTGATGTTTCTTTGATGGACAGGTTGAAAATATGGGCTATAGGTTTGTATATTAAGTGACCAACTATCTGCTCCGGTAAAGGAGGACCCTTTGAGGTAGGACAGCTGTTTCAGAATATTACTTTCGTGGATTGGCTGGAAACTAAATTCGTTTAATGTTTGGACAGGGGTGTAGGAATTTGCATGAGCAGGGGTGACTCCCAATACATTATCAAAAAGATTACCAGCTTCAGAAAAATGAAGGTTAAAATTGTCAACTATTTTTTGGGGATCTGAGAAATATTCCCCATTTCAGTTTACCTCAACGGGCAGATTGTCTGTTTTGGATGCCTTTTCGATACATTTGATTGTTTTCCAAAAAATCCTGGCATTTCCATGTGATTCCAGAAGAGTGGAGGAAAAGTAGGCATTTTTTGCATGCCGTATTTTTTTGACCCATCTATTCCTTAAAATCCTGTACTCTAGCCAGTCATTTACCAAATTACTTTTCTGAGCACATGCCCAAGCCTTGTCCCTAGTTTTCATGAGCTTTGTAATCAAAGGATCATACCATGGTGGGCGGTTGCCTTTAGTTTTAAATCTAACCAACGGAGCATGTTTGTTAAGAATTTGGAGAGTGTACCTGAAGGTCTCCCAAGCCGTAGTCAGGTTGGGGATATCACAGACCTTGTCAATGTCCGAGTGACGCACATCATTAGTAAATGCCTGAGTGCTGAAGTGTCTCAGCGTGCTTCTCAACCAATTTAGGGGGGGCTTTGGGTCTGGCTGATGATCTCACCCCAAAAATGAAAGAGTGATCACTAAGGTTATTACCCAGAACACCAGTCAGTGCGAAATTGTGAGGGGCATTTGTCAATAGGACATCAAGCAGAGTTGACCGTCCCGGATTTTTTAGGTTGGGTCTTGTGGGGACATTTATTAATTGCCATTTGCCATTAAAGATTGCTTTAAAATTGACAGGAGTGAATCATGGCCTGAACGATGCACAGCAGTTCAGAGTAAAACCCGATCCTTCCGCTTTTGAAACATGCATCGATTCCTGTACCTGAGAATCAAATACTTAGTACTTCTGCACATTACAAAAAAATTACATTCCAACACCACAATTAGGCGAACGGTGCCAGCAGAATTATAGTGATGAGACAGAAAAAGGAAGACTTGTAGTGGCGCTCGTCTCCTTTGTGACCTGAAGCCAACAGTGGAAATTTCACATTCCCCATGAATGACCAGAATCTCCACATGACAACCATTGTTGATTTCCCACCAAGTTGTACTCATTTATTAACGACGGAGGAACTAAGGCAAGATGGGGTAAGGATGACGAACACTCCAATCACCGCTCCACGTGGGCCACCGTTGAAACAATACTTGATAGAACAAGCACCAAGATTCACGTCAAAGTTTATTCATTAAACTAGGCGAGAACTCAAGAGACCAGGAAAGTCTCATTTGCTAGAGTGACCTGGGGCATAAGTCTGCCAGTAGAGGGCGATTTTTGCGACGTTTAATCCCAATAAAGTAATTTTAAAGTTTGGAAAATTTAGGACGCTGGCACACAATGGGCCTCCTCTTGCAAATGATGTCAGGGGATATTTTAACGTCCACCGTGGGAGTGGACGGCGCACAGTATTATCACAGCTATTACACCCGCAGTAATAACCAAAGCAGCCTGCTCGGCTCGTGCCACAAACCTCTTCAACGAGCGGCGACCGCGTGCCCCCTCTGGCACGAGGGGTTGGGCCGGCATCGCTAGGCCCTCTCGCCGCCAAAGCCCTACCTTCCTTGCCGAGCAGCACGGAGTAGAAGCAGGCGTGGTTGACGCTGAGGTAGAGCCAGCCCTGGCGCGGCATGCGCCCCTTCCAGTAGCTGCACGACACGGCGACTACGAGCAGCTCGGTGCTGGGCGCTGCAAAGAACTTGCGGAAGCGGACCAGCGCCTCCCCGCGCGTGCGCTCGGCACCGTCTCCCTCGCCCTTCATCTCCTCCGCAATGATCCCCTGTCGGCCAACATGTTGTGTGTGCGGGGGCGCACAGATTGGCGAGGGACAAAGCGAAGCCAGATTTAATTTGAATGTAAGGATTGGTTCCGGCTACGGTAAATGCAGCCTCATGGCTGGGCATGACCACGTTAAAGGTTTGTTAACTACTATATCAAAATTGTCTCCTTGGTTATTATCAGTCAAGCAGGACTGCCAGGTACTATCTTCATGATGTGCCGAGTAGATCTAAAAATCGCTCATTAAATATATTCTTTTTTACTCAATACAGGTTATTCCAGCTCTGAAAAATAACGAATTACTCTTGACTTGCGGCAATGACACTTAACAGAGATCCCCTGGGGGTGAATAAACGAGGCCTCCCGAAGTGACTTCAGAAGAAGTAATGTGACGTCATCATCCACGACCATGTTCTGACACAGGGTGGTGCGCTGCTAGCTGTGAGAACTCCAAATTAAAATGTTCATCCCATGTATAACTGGCCACTCGCATAGTAGAAGACAAATAACCGCCGCACCCCTGATCCACTCACTCGCGCAAATCCACACGCACGCCACCACACACCTTTATTTTTCCAAGGACAAAGTCGGTGATGTCCCCGTCGCTCTCAAACACGGGCAGGATATGCAGGAGGTTGACCTCCAGCCACTGCCAGTGCTCTTCGATCTCCTCCTTGCTCGTGCCTGCGCTCACCCGCATGCCACGCGCTGCTGTTGTCACCCTCTCAAGGCCACATGACAGAAGGAAAAGCGAATCCCCCCTGTGTGTGTGTGTGCATGCGCGAGTGTGCCTGTGACAGTGGATGGGCGCAGAGGGTGAGCGGTCGTGCAGTGGTTAGTGCGCTGCGCTGCGAACCCTACAAACCGAGTTTGATTCCCGCTCACGGCCAACACCAGTGACGATTATCTGAAGTGATTCTGGGCCTACCCTAGGTCGACTTAGCCTCAAATGAGTACCTGGTGCGGTGTGTAAACATCTCCACTGGGGAGAAAAAGGTAGCCGTGCGTGGGTCTGGCCACCCACCCCCTTGTGTGCTGTGCTGGCCTTGATAGGTGCTCGCTAACAGCACATGTCCCAACAGTCTCTTAAGGCTATACAGGGGGATCTGTCTTAGCGTGCATGTGAAGGGGGAGGGGGAGCAGTAGTGCAGTGGTTATCACTCTGTGCTCTGAAACCAGCCACCCAAGTTACATTCCCACTCACAGCCAACACCAGTGACGATTATCTGTACTGGTCCTGGGCCTCCCCTAGGTAAACTCAGCCTCAAATTGAGTACCTGGTGCAGTATGTAAACATCGCCACTAGGGAGACGAAGGCGACCGGGCGTGGTGCTGGCCACCCACCCCGTCGGGTGGCGTGCCAGGCTTCATTCAGTGTTCGCAAACAGCACTTCCCCCGAAAAGTTTGTCTTCCCTATACAGGTGTTGCGGCGTATGACGACTCCGAGGCAGGTTGCTGTTAGGGGCTCGCGCCACGTTTATTAGGGGCTTACGCCAAAGTGTGTTTAGGGGCTTACGCCTACCCAGCCCCCTAGCGATAACTCCCCAGGGGACAGGGGTACCCAGATTCCCTACAACCCCAACCTCGGCCCGTTGGGCAGAGTGGCCTCCCCTAGCCTCGGGTGAGGATCAGCTCCCCTGAGTCCCCACTCCTACCCCCGACGACCCCCGTTACATCCCCGCGTCCCCCTTTAAATACCCCCCTGGGGCATGACGTCACCGTCCCCCCAGGGTCCGCCTGACGTCACGTTCTGCGACGCCACTCTCCGAGGGCAAGCGTGACGTGACGTCACCCACTACTCCCCTACACAGGGGATCTTTGTCTCTGTGTGCACGCAAATGGAAATACATTGGTGATTCCGACAACCAGGGTTCAATTACGAATCATTTGTATTTCTCCTTAGCCTTGCTCTTTGTCAATTCGCCCTGGAGTACCCAGTGCATTGTGTGAACATCACAATGGAAAACATCACAATGGTTGGGCAAAGTGTGGGCTACACCACCCGACCATGTGCAATACCATGCTTTAGTAGGTGCTCACTCACAAAAAAATGTTTTGCAGTGGTCTGAAAAGCTAAAGGAGGGTTCCTTCGCCTGGTGAGATACAAGTGTAGTGACATATGACGTCACTACTGTGATGAGACAGTACGGGTACTGTAGGTGGGGTGTCACCGAGGTCGCGTCAGGCCGGGACACCCTGCGTGAGCCCGATCGGGCACGTGACCGGACAAAGGGGGGCCAGGGACCCCCAGGTGGGGGCTTGGTGGTCACGTGGTAAGGGACCCAGACCTTGCTGAAGGATCGGGAAGGGGGGCGTGGCCGAGGGCGGAGCCGGCCACGCCGCAGCAGTTATAAGCCGGGCGCGAACAGAGAGCGTAGCCGTTCAACTCCGGGAATAAAAATGCCATCAAGGGTCCTCGAGTATCCGATCTTCGTTTGTGACGAGGCAGCCAGCTAACCTGCCCTGGTCATGTTATATAGTATCCCTCCGAGTGTTAGTTAAAATAGGAACGGTGGTCACCACCTGAAATATAGTGTTCAAGTTGTCTGTTACGTTGTTAATAGAGTGTTGCCTCCAGGTTAAGTGTGCGCCTCAATTGAACCCATTACAAAAGGGAGCATAGCTCAGTATTTTTTTTCCAAATTCCCCTGCCCTTTATTGTATTTTAAATGTAATTAATCTTTTCATCCAAGTTTTGATTTCTCTTTTAAGGAAGCATTTTTTTCGACCTATGTTTGGTTTGATTTCTGTTGCTATTAATTATTGTACATTATTGCGACTCTCATTTTGGTGACCCAGGTCAGTCTTGAAAATGAGACTATCTTTGTCCCTTAAGTTCTTACCTGGTTAAAAAAACAAAATTACTTTAAAAAATTGAAGTATAATGAATAACTGTGCGGCATTTGACTAAATGTCAGCTCTAGATTCCATTCTGTTTTGCAGCCAACCTTCTTGAAGACACTCCACTTCTCTGGCCTCTGTGTGCTACGAACAAGGGCCATTGCCCAAAACTTCACCTTCGTTACATGTTGTGTGTATGTTTAACTTCTTTCGCACCGAACGTAGCCAACCGTGCTACATTTTAAGGCAGTGTTATTGACGAAAGTATTGCGTTTTTCCATCTCCACGAAGATGGAGAGCCATAAAGGGTTCACAAAAAAAGCTATTAAATGTTTTATTTCTATGTAAAGGAAAATAATTCTGGTAGAAAACTTCAACCACACTTTTTGCACGTTTATTTTGGACAAATACATTTTAAAAATAATAAACCGTAAGTCTGGCAGGAGCAGAGCACGTGGTACACTGACGGTACGATGGATAAAGCCATGCCCTTGCGAGTGTCAGTCTGCCACATACTGTGTTGGTGACAAATGTGTGGTCTCCTCTTGTTTTTGAATCTTACCTAGATAAACGCCATTTTTTGTCTGTCCGTCCATACGTCGGTATGCACTGCTGTTGTGAAAGCAGGTACCACCAAAGTCGGTATGCACTGCTGTAGTTAAAGCAGGTACCACCACATTCAGTATGCACTGCTGTAATCATAGCAGGTACCACCACAGTCAGTATGCACTGCTGTAATCATAGCAGGTACCACCACAGGCAGTATGCACTGCTGTAATCATAGCAGGTACCATCACAGTCAGTATGCACTGCTGTAATCATAGCAGGTACCACCAGTCAGTATGCACTGCTTTAATCATAGCAGGGACCACCACAGTAGGCACTGCTGTAATCATAGCAAGTAACTACCACAGTTGGTATGCACTGCTGTTGTCATAGAAGAAACCACCACAGTCAGTATGCACTGATGTAGTTACAGCAGGAACCACCACAGTATGGACTGCTGTAGTGATAGCAGGTACCACCAGTCAGTATGCACTGCTGAAATCATAGCAGGTACCACCACAGTCACTATGCACTGCTGTAGTTAAAGCAGGTACCACCAAAGTCTGTATGCACTGCTGTAGTCATAGCAGGGACCACCACAGTCAATATGCACTGCTGTAATGATAGCAGGTTACCACCCAAGTCGGTATGCACTGCTGTAGTCATAGCAGGTGCCACCAGTCAGTATGCACTGCTGTAGTTTAAACCAGGTACCACCACAGTCAGTATGCACTGCAGTAGTGATAGTAGATACTGCTATCCAGTTGCTAGACACTGCTATATAGAGTTAGTAGATACAAAAACAGTCAATATATACCACTACGGTCAGTAAATACTACAATACTACTTGCTCTCTTGTCTGTAGGGCGTGCGCGTATACAGTGAGGGAAAAAAGTATTTGATCCCCTGCTGATTTTGTACGTTTGCCCACTGACAAAGAAATGATCAGTCTATAATTTTAAAGGTAGGTTTATTTGAACAGTGAGAGACAGAATAACAACAAACAAATCCAGAAAAACGCATGTCAAAAATGTTATAAATTGATTTGCATTTTAATGAGGAAAATAAGTATTTGACCCCTCTGCAAAACATGACTTAGTACTTGGTGGCAAAACCCTTGTTGGCAATCACAGAGGTCAGATGTTTACTGTAGTTGGCCACCAGGTTTGCACACATCTCAGGAGGGATTTTGTCCCACTCCTCTTTGCAGATCTTCTCCAAGTCATTAAGGTTTCGAGGCTGACGTTTGGCAACTCAAACCTTCAGCTCCCTCCACAGATTTTCTATGGGATTAAGGTCGAGAGACTGGCTAGGCCACTCCAGGACCTTAATGTGCTTCCTCTTGAGCCACTCCTTTGTTGCCTTGGCCGTGTGTTTTGGGTCATTGTCATGCTGGAATACCCATCCACGACCCATTTTCAATGCGCTCGCTGAGGGAAGGAGGTTCTCATCCAAGATTTGACGGTACATGGTCCTGTCCATCGTCCCTTTGATGCGGTGAAGTTGCCCTGTCCCCTGAGCAGAAAAACACCCCCAAAGCATAATGTTTCCACCTCCATGTTTGACGGTGGGGATGGTGTTCTTGGGGTCATAGGCAGCATTCCTCCTCCTCCAAACACGGCGAGTTGAGTTGATGCCAAAGAACTCCATTTTGGTCTCATCTGACCACAACACTTTCACCCAGTTGTCCTTTGAATCATTCAGATGTTCATTGGCAAACTTCAGACGGGCATGTATATGTCCTTTCTTGAGCAGGGGGACCTTGCGGGCGCTGTAGGATTTCAGTCCTTCACGGCGAAGTGTGTTACTAATTGTTTTCTTGGTGACTATGGTCCCAGCTGCCTTGAGATCATTGACAAGATCCTCCCGTCTAGTTCTGGGCTGATTCCTCACCGTTCTCATGATCATTGCAACTCCACGAGGTGAGATCTTGCATGGAGCCCCAGGCCGAGGGAGATTGACAGTTCTTTTGTGTTTCTTCCATTTGCGAATAATCGCACCAACTGTTGTCACCTTCTCACCAAGCTGCTTGGCAATGGTCTTGTAGCCCATTCCAGCCTTGTGTAGGTCTACAATCTTGTCCCTGACATTCTTGGAGAGCTCTTTGGTCTTGGCCATGGTGGAGAGTTTGGAATCTGATTGATTGATTGCTTCTGTGGACAGGTGTCTTTTATACAGGTAACAAGCTGAGATTAGGAGCACTCCCTTTAAGAGTGTGCTCCTAATCTCAGCTTGTTACCTGTATAAAAGACACCTGGGAGCCAGAAATCTTTCTGATTGAGAGGGGGTCAAATAC